GAGAAGGGGAAATGAAGAGGAAGAATGGGAGAAATTATCTCATATAAATGAGATGTGCAAGTAAGAGTTTAAACAGTGAAGGAGAGAATGAGGAAGGGGAAGTAGGCAATGCTTGAATCTCACTCTTATCTGAACTGGTTCAAAGAGGGGAGAAATAGACAACACACACACAGTTGGGTACAGAAATTCACCTTAGCCAACAGGGAGGTAGGAGGAAAAGGAGTTAAGAGAAAGGAAGGGGAAATAAGAGAGATGGAAAATTAATGAAAAGAGTGGTCAGAAGCAAAGTAGATTCTTGAAGGATAGAGTAAAAAAAGAGAAGAATAAATATAAGAGAATATGATGGAGGGAAATACACAACTAGCAATCTTAACTATGAATGTGACTAGGATGAACTTACCCATGAAATGGAAAAGAATAGCAGAATTGATCTGAAACCAGAATCCAATAATATATTGTATATACAAGACACACTTGAAATAGAAAGACACCCACAGAATTAAAATAAGGGGCTGAAGCAGAATCTATTATGCCTCAGCTAAAGTTAAAAGGAAGGGGTAGCAATCATGACCTCAGGCTAAACAAAATTTTAAAAAATAGGCTGAATTGAAAGAGATAATCTTTTAAAACTACATTTTACCAAAATGTATCATAGATAATGAATTGATGTCAATACTGAACATATATGTACCAGTTAGCATAGCATCCAAATTCTTGAAGTTAAGTTAAATGAATTATAGAAGGAAATAGACAGTAAAACTATAATATCAGGAAACCTCAATTTACTCCTTTCAGAACTTGATAAATGTAACAAAATAAACAAGAAAGAAGCTGAGGAGATAAATAGAATTTTAGAAAAGTTAGATATAATAAATCTCTGGAGAATATCAAATGGGAGTAGAAAGACATAAATCTATTTCTCAGCTGTGTATAGAACCTTCATTCATTCATTCAATAAACATTTATTAAGTGCCAGGCACTGTGCTAAACCAAAGTAGAAATGACAGAACAAAAACTGACCATGTATTAGGGCATTAAGAACCTCTCACACAAATGCAGAAAAGGAGAAATGTTAAATGCATCTTTTTCTGACCATAATGCAATAAAAGCTATATTCAATAAAGGACCTTTGAAGCATAGATTAGAAATCAATTAGAAATAAATAACCTAATCCTAACAAATGAATGGGTCAAAGAACGAAACAATTAATAATCTTATTCAAGATAATGACAACAATGAAACAACATACCAAAACTTGTAGGATACAGCCAAAGCAGTACTTAAAGGAAAATTTATATCTAAATGTCATAAATAAAAGAGAGAAAGAACAGATCAATGAATTGGTCACCCAACTAAATAAATCACCTAGAAAAACAACAAATTAAAAGCCTTTGATTAAATACCAAATAGAAATCCTGAAAGTCAAAGGGGAGATTAATAAAAGTAAAAGTTGAAAAAATGAACTAATAAAACTAGGAGCTAGTTCTACAAAAAAAAAAAAAAACAAAAAAAAACCACCTCAATAAAATAGATAAATCATTGACTAATTTGATTTTAAAAAAAAGAAAGAAGACAAATTACCAGTACCAAAAATGAAAAGGGTGAATGCATAACCAATAAAGATGAAATAAAAGCTTGCCTATAAAACTGACAATGTAGGTAAAATGGATGAAGATTTACAAAACTACAAATTTCTCAGATTAACAGAAGATGAAATAGAATACTTAAATAACCCTATCTTAGAAAAAAAAATTGGACATGGCATAACTTATTTCCCTAAGAAAAAATCCCCAGAACCAGATGGATTTACAAATAAATTCTACAAACCATTTAAAGCACAATAAATTCCAATACTATATAAACTGTTTGAAAAAATTGGTAGATTCCTACCTACCAAATTCCTTCTATGACACAAATACAGTTTTGATACCTAAATCAGGGAGAACAAAAAAAGAGAAAGAAAACTATAGACTAATTTCACTGATGGTATTGATGCAAAAATTTTTAATAAAATACTAGCAAAGAGATTACAATAAAATATCACAAAGATCATACACTATGACCAGGCTGGATTTGTAACAGAATTGCAGGAAAACTATAAGCATAATTAACTATATCAATACAGGAAAAAAATCATTTGGTTATTTCAATAAATGCAGAAAAGGCTTTTGACAAAAATACAACATCCATTCTTATTTAAAAAAAAACCACTAGAAAGCATAGGAGTATATGGAACTTTTCTTAAAATCATCTCTAAAATGAAAAGCAAGTATTATTTATAATAGGGATAAACTAGAAATCTGTCAAATAATGTCAGGGGTGAAAGCAAAGATGTTCATTATCATCATTACTATTCAATAATATACTGGAAATGCTAGCTATCACAATAAGTCAAGAAAAAGAAGTTGAAGGAATAATCACAGGCTATTACAAAATAAAATTATCACATTTTGCAGGTGATGTGATGGAATTCTTATAGAACCTTAGAGAATCAACTAAAAAACTAGTGTCCAAACAATTAACAACTTTAGCAAAATTGTAGGATATAAAATAAATCCACATAAATCACCACCATTTTTATATATTACCAGCAAAATCCAGCAGGAAGAGATAGAAGGAGAAATTCCATTTAGAATAATTGCAGATTTTATAAAATACTTGAGAGTCTACCTGCCAAGATACACAGGAATTATATTACACAATTACAAAACAGTCTTCACACAAATAAAGGCAGATCTAAATAACTGGAGAAAAATTAATTGTTCATGGGAAGGCTAAACCAACCTAATAAAAATTATAATACTACCTAAATTAATTTACTTCTTTAATGCCACATCAAACTAACAAAGAATTACTTTATAGAGTTAGAAATATAATAACAAAATAAATCTGGAAGAACAAAAGGTCAAGAATATCAAGGGAATCAATGAAGAAAAAATGTGAAGGAAGGAAGCCTAGCAGTACCAGAACTCAAATTATATCAAAAAGCTGTAATCATCAAAACAATTTGGTACTAGACGGGAAGAAGAGTGGATCAGTGGAATAGACTGGGTACATGATATACAGAAACAAATGAGCATAATTATGTACGTTTTTGATAAACCAAAAAGATCCCAACTATTTGGGCAAGAACTCATTATCTGAGAAAAACTACTTGGAAACCTGGAGAGTAGTCTGGCAGAAATTGGGCATAGACCAACATCTAACACTGTATACCAAGACAAGCTCAAAATGAGTACATGATTTAGACATAAAAAGATAGCAAAAGCAAATTAGTGATGGGAGAAATTGCCTGTCAGATTTATGGATAAGCGAAATATTCATGACCAACAAAGAAATAGAGAGGTTCATAAGAGGTGAAAATGGATAATTTTGAGTACTTAAAAATTAAGAAGTTTTTTCACAAATAAAACCAAAGCAGCCAAAATTCGAAGGAAAGCAAGAAACTGGGGACAAAATTTTACAGCAAGCTTCTCTAATAAACATCTAATTTCTCAAATATATAGGGAACTAAGACAAATTTATAAGAATAAGAGCCATTCCCCAACTGATAAATGGTCAAGGGATATGAACGGGGGTGGGGGGGGGGCCGGGGGGGAATCAAAGCTATCAATAACATTTAAATGTGAAAAAATGCCCTAAATCGGGCAGCTAGGTGGCGCAGTGGATAGATCACCTGCCCTGGAGTCAGGAGGACCTGAGTTCAAATCGAGCATCAGACACTTGATACTTAACTAGCTGTGTGACCCTGGGCAAGTCACTTAACCTTGATTGCCTCACCAAAAAAAAAAAAAAAAAAAAAAAGCCCTAAATCACTAATCATCAGAGAAATGCAAATTTAAACAACTCTGAGATACTACCTCACATCTTTCAGATTGACCAACAAGAAAGAAAAGGAAAAGACAAATGCTGGAGGGGATGTGTGAAAATAGGCATGCTAATCCATTCTGGTGGACTAGTCCAACCATTCTGGACAGCATTTTGGAACTATGCCCCAAAAGCTATAAACCTTTGACCTTGCAATACCACTAGTTGGAGCAGTTCACAACTCCACCAACAATGCATCAATGTTCCAATTTTCCCACATCTTCTCCAACATTTGTCACTGTCCTGTTTTGCCATGTTAGGTATTCTGATAGGTGTGATGTGGTACCTCAGAGTCGTTTCGATTGGCATTTCTCTAATCACTTGTAATTTAGAACATTTTTTGTATGACTATGTAGCTTTAGTGTCTTCCTCCAAGGACTGCCTGTTCATATCCTTTGACCATTTATCAATTGGGAAATAACTTGTATTCTTATAAATTTAACTTAGTTCTCTATATATTTTAGAAATGAGGCCTTTATCAGGCCGATTAAATCTAATCCTTTTTCTTTTCTTTCTTTTCTTTTTTTCGGCAATTGGGGTTAAGTGACTTGCCCAGGGTCACACAGCTAGTAAGTATCAAGTGTTTGGTCTGAGGCTGAACTTGAACTCAGGGACTCCCGACTTCAGGGCCGGTGCTCTATCCACTGCGCCACCTAGCTGCCCCCCATCGAACCCTTTTTCAAAACATTTTGTGACCTCGAAGCTACATCAACTCTTTCCCTTCCCCCACTTTCTACCTGAGGAAACTAAGGCTCTGAAATGTAAAATGACTTGCCCAAGGTCACACAGCTAGTAAATGGAGGAGCTAAAAATCAAACCCAGCTACATCACACTACCAGCCAGAACTAGAGTCAGTACTGCGGTTGGTACCAGACCAGAGGATAGCTGGACTATTGTCTCCCATTTTCTGGACAGCTATGTCCTCTTTAATGATTTACACTGCTCTTGTAAGCGCATTTATCTTGATGTATTATCTAGCTCCTCAGCTCTTTTCCTGCATTTTTGCGTTGGAGTTTTTGAACCCAGGCTCTCTGGGATCCTCCCACTCTCGCTCCTGTTGACATCACCAAATTCTCTGCTTTTGAGCAGGCTCCTCCCCGGCGCTTCCTCCAGCCGCAGTGACAGCTGAGTCCCGATAGGCAGCGATCTCTTTGCGGTGCTGGGCCCGGCTCTGGCCTTCTTCTGCCCTCCCCTCCCTCCCGGGCGGGCTCAGCTCCGCCGGCAGTGTCGGGTTACAGGAGCCACTGCTGTGTTCTGTGCGCTTGGGGGTGGGGTGGAGGGGTGGGCAGAGGAGCAGGCACTAGGGCTGGGCACACACTCGGCAAGGCAGTGGTGGACGGTGTGGATACACAGTCTGCTAAACCATGGCTGATGACTTCGGCTTATTCTCCTCCAGCAGTGGGGCCCCGGGGCCAGCGGAGGAGGACCCAGCAGCTGCCTTCCTGGCCCAGCAGGAGAGCGAGATCGCAGGCATTGAAAACGATGATGAGGGTTTTGGCGGCGCTGAGGGAGCCCTGCAGCAGCCGGCAGCTGAAAATGGAAGTAAGTAGCCTGGTGATTGAGGAGCTGTGGGCAATAGCCAGGGGTGATGTCTAGTCTGAAGTGGCCTCAGACATTGGGGGAGGGGGAGAGAGGAGGCAGAGGGCAGTGGGAGAGCTTGAAACTCTGCTGGACACCTGAGTCCCCGCTAAGGCCCTGTCTGTAATTCTAGAGGCCAGGATCTCTGCCAAATGATGGGCCAATCTGGTGAGGGAGGGGAGGGCTGGGAGGGGAAGTCAAGAAGAAGCCCAAGAGTGACTAGCTTGGTCTAGGTGAAGGGCAGGCACATAGGGAGAAGGTGCATCTGACAGCCAGCCGTCTGTAGTTCCTAGACCAAGGAACTTGAAGGCGCAACATAGCGAGGGAATGGTCTGATCCTGCCAACTCAAGGATTCCAGAGGAAGGGACATAACCATTCCAGGCTACTAAAATCAAATGTCAGCTCAACATAGAGAATAAGCCAAGGTTCATTCTGTCGTCCTCCCACTCTAATGAGTCTGAACAAGGCAACTATTATTAATTGAGGTTGGGAGTTGTGGGACCCTGCTGCAGGAAGAAATACAACCCTCCACAGGTGCAGCGCTTTCAGAAAGTGTGTTGGGGTGGGGCATGAGGGGGGTGCAGATCACCTGTTCCTAACTTGCTGTGTGACCTTGGGCAATTCATTTCTCCTCTATGGGCCTCTAGCTCATCTGTTAAATGAGAGGTTTGTTTTCAGCTCAGACATTCTGTGTTTCTATGATCAGATCAAAACAAGCATTTACAGAGCACCAGAAAATATTAATTAACATCCATGTAGCTGTTTAAGTTTTACTCAGTGCTTTCCTCACAATACCCCCCATGAGTTAGGCAGAGCCAAGATTGTTAACCCAGTTTTACAGAGGAGGTAACTGAGACTCAGACAGAGCCAGTCCACAGTAAGCACCAGAGCTAGGTTTTGAGTCCAATTCTCACCTCCCAATTCAGTATTCTATCCATTATACGTAAGTAATCCTGTGCTCAAACATTATATGGGGGATACAAATTAGCACTAGACAGGTTATCTTGCCTGCCATAAGCTTACAATATCCTAGTGGTTCTCTAAGAATAATGTGAGGGGACGCTTGGTAGTCTCGGGGGAAGGGGAAGGGGGGGGTCCAAGGATTTCTTAAACTGTCAGTTAAATTGCTAGAACTTTTCACAGATTGCTTCCAAAGTAACTAGCCAAAATTGTGCCTGGGGCAAATTCAGTTGAGGGAAATTTAGCATAGTAGCATGTGGGACAGTCCCACTTAAGATCCCACCGAGAGTCCTGGTCCTTGCTCCCATAGAGATCAGCAGGGAGTAGACCCTAACCCTTGGGAGGGACTTGTCCTGGTGATGGGAACGTGGGGATGGTGGCCAGGAGCAACTGGACCCCTTCCCAGAGGATTGTAAGGCAAAATAGGAATAGCTTTTACCAGTTCCTACAACTCCCCAACCCCATTTTGGCATCTTAGAAACCCATCCTCCTTGTGCTAGTTATGGCTCTGATTACTTTCCCTGTTTGGGCCTAACTGTAAAATAACAAGATTGGAATATATGATCTCTAACGTTCCTTCCTGTTCTAAAATTCTGGGTATGTTGTTTCAGGGTATTTTCATCTCAGACATTCTGTGTTCTAAGTTCCTTTCTAATTCTGACATTCTATGTTCCTGTGAGGTAGGGAGCAAAAGTATTATTATTCCTCCTTTTACAGATGGGGGAACTGAGGCTCAGAGGATAAAGTATCTAGCTCATAGTCATTCAGCTAATAAGTTTTACCACCCTACTCTCTTGATTCCCAGTTGAATACTCTGAGGCCCAGAGAAAGAAAGCCAATGGCCTAAGGTCACATAGCTAGCTCAGGATTTGAACCCAGATTTTTAAATTCCAAATCCAGAGCTCTGCCCCACTATCCCACACCTGCCTCCCAACAAACTCCGTTCCAGCTCTGACATGGCAGCTTCTAGGGTCCCTTCCAGCTCTCACATTCTGTGTTCTGTGATCCCTTCTAGTCCTGGTAATCTGTGAATTAAAAGTCTCCATAATATGATTATTTATAAGACATTGAGGTCTCTGCTTTTATTTTTGGCTTGAAGAAAAAGCGTGCTTATGGTGCTTAATCAAAACCAGACGCTGCTTTGTGGATATTGTATCTCAAGTGGTGCTTCCTTCCTTTTTTTCATTCTGATGGGGTTTTGTGGTGGCAGCATGTGGTAAAGGTAAAGGGCTCTGGAGGTTTCTCATCACCCAAATGGTCTAAGAGGTAAAGAAGCTTAAGACCAAGTAGTCTGGGCCATCTCCACACTACTAGTCACTACCATCAGGGAAACAATTCAATGTAACGAACATTTGTGAATGCCTATATGTATATGTGGGTGTAAACATATATATGTATATGTATATATCTCAAAAGCCTTTGTTCTTAGAGAGTTTACAATCTAATGAGGGGAGGATGAGTATACTGACAACCATGAAACGAGAATAAAATAGGCACCAGAGAGGCCTAGGAAAAGTACTAGGAGAAACTTGAGGGAGGAGATATCACTTTCTGTTAAGGAGGTGGGAAGGGCTTCTTGGAGGAGGTGGCCATCCTCTTGAAGGAAGGGAGGGACTTCTTTCATTAGAGATAAGAAGTGGGAGGTTGTAAGTCCATTCCGGTGAGGAGTTTAGAAACATGGGAAATACATGAGAATGAATAGGAGTTAATAATAACCCGTGGACTCTGACTCTTAAACAAAAGCAGAGGAAGAAGCTTTAGTCCCACCCTTTCTATTCTTCAATCCCCTTTTTTCCTGCTCCTCCTCCTCCTTCTCACGTCTGTCCCTTTTCACAGTTCCTCTGAGCTGGGAAGGGCATTGCTAAAGAGACATTCAGTTCTCAGGGAAGAGGTGGTAAGTGTGGTAAGAGCTGGGTCCTATGAGTGTCCCTAACATGCATTATTCCTAACACTCGAAATTCCTGACTTAGGCAGAATTCAACCGTTTGGTTGGTGCATTCCCTCTCAGAGGGCTTCACGTTTTAACACAATCCAGGAGATGGTAAAGCTGTGAGGCAAAAAGGGACAAGGAATAAGTGTTTCAAGGAAGGCAATCAGGATGATGGTGGGATTTGCAATGATACTACATAGGAATCAGCTGGAGGAACTAGAAATGTTTAGCATGGAGAAGACATATGATACCTGTCTTCAAGTATTTGAAGGTCAGTCACGTGTAGCAAGAACTGGGCTTGTCCTGCTCAGCCCCAGAGGGCAGAATGAGGAGAGTAAAGTTTCCGAGAGGCAGATTTTAAAGATATAAGGAAAACTCATTAACAACCAGAGAGCTGCCCCAAAGTGGAATGGGCTGCCTTGGGACATGGTGAATTCCCCATCAGTGGAGATCTGCAAGCAGTGGATGGATGACCATTTGTCAGAGATATTTGAGAGGGATTCTCTTGTCAGCATTATATCTCTTCTGAAGTTCCTTCCCACTTTCATATTCTTTGATTTCAAGATGAATACAAGTAGAAAGTCCAGATACTAGCTGTCAGAAAAGTCCAGGCATGATGAGAAGTTTGAGAGCTTTTCTAACCCTGAGATTCCGCAGTTCTGAGCATCTTTGCTTTCTGCTTCCAAAGGCTAAGGAAAGAAAGGAGGATGGGGGAGCAGAAGGCAGGGAGAAAGCCTTCCAAATACACACACACACACACACACACACACACTCTCTCTCTCTCTCACACACACACACACACACACTCTCTCTCTCTCACACACACACACACACACACACACCTTTAGCTGGCTCAGCTGTTTTAAGTGGGGCAGCAGAATGGCAGTAGGCAGAGAGGTGTTGCAGGAAGGGCAGCAAATGCTGTCAGACCCACCCAACAGAGGAGTCAGCAGGCTGGGTGTGGGAAGGAGGGTGTGGATCAAGTATAAATTACTGCAGGCCAATTACCAAGGCTGCCGAAGATACTAGGGGCTGGAAAGGGAAGATGTGGGTTCTGTAGGAAAATGAAAAGTTACACAGAGTTTGAGGAGGTTGAGGGCTGGGCCTCCCTCTGCCTGTCTTTGTCCAGATAACCTTCCTTTGACAGCATAGACAACTGTCCTTTCTCTCTGAAATGGGCTTCTCTTAGATTGAGGAGCCTCTAGTTGTCTGGATGGTTGGTGGCATAGAATGTTAGAGGTGAAATGGGCTCTAGAACATGAAATATAGCCCCTGAGAGAGACCATCAAGTAGAGAACAGGGAAGATAGAGCTGGAAAGGAATTTGTTGGGAGGCAACTGTGATGCATGGAAAAATCACTGGACTTGAAGTCAAGAATTTCTTTTCTATAGACTGGAGGATGATGATACTTTCACTAGTCACCTCATTGGAAGTTTTAAGAAGGGGTCAAGACTTTATTAAGAATCCTGACTCCTACTTGAATTAGCTCTGGGATCCTCAACAACTCAGTTCACCCCTCTGACCCTCAGTTTCTATTTCTCTTCTCTGCTTCGGTACTTCAGGGATCCATGATTTAACTCGTGTGTTATTCCCAGCATTTCCAGACTTCGAAACCCCCCTTACAAATTAGGAGATGGTATTTGATTGCTACTGTGGCTTTGGGCACACCTGATAATGAACTGCACTGACTCCAAATTGACACCTTTCCAACTTGATAGGATCTGTTAGAATTTGTGTTCAAATCCTTTGAGAACTAAGGATCACCTACATATCATAAAGAAGCACCAGAAGAGGACTTAAGAGGAGTTTCCCCATCTGTAAAATGGCAATGATACTGTTTGCACTAACCACTTTATAAGAGACCTCACTCCCAGGTATTTTCAGTAACAGGAACTGGAAGAAGTTAAGAAGTTAACACAACTCAGACAAGCAATATTATGCTGAATCAGATCACTCGGTCAGTCAACATACATTTATTAAACATCTGCTATATGCTGACTTTGCCAGGGCTGCAAAGTGAAAAAATAAAGCATTTCTTCCTCTCAAGGAGCTTATATTCTATCCAGGAAGACA